AAGAGACAGAAGAGGAGACACACAGACACAGAGGAGACGCCACGTGGAGACGGAGGCAGAGACGGGAGGGAGGCGGCCACCAGCGCAGGGATGGACTCCTGGAGCCCCCAGAAGCTGGAAGAGGCAGGAGGGACCCTCCCCTGGAGCCTCGGGAGGGAGCGCGGCCCTGGGACGCCTTGGCCTCAGACGTCTGGTCTCCAAGACTTGGGGAAGGTGGATGTCTGTGGTTTTTAGCCTCCCAGTTTGAGGTTATTTGTTACAGATGCTCCAGGACACATACACACGGCATCTCAGTGAGCTGTCTGAGCAAGCAGGGCCTTCCAGAGGCGCATGTGCCCCCATCTTCACACAAAGACCTGAATTCCCTGGGGGGCTCTGCAGACGTGTGACATACAGGCCACGAAGATGCATTAATTTGTCTTCTGAGTCACACTGTCGGTCGCCACCTCTCCTGCAGCTGGAATGGAGAAGTCCAGGAACTTCTGGTGCTCAGGTGTCATTGTGCCCCGTGACCTCTGGGTGCACCCCTCTTGGTGCTGGCCCTGGTCACCATCATCCTTCCTGTCACCCGTGGCTGTCCTGTGAAGGGCATCAGGATGCTTCTCAGCCAAGCGGACGTCCTGCGGAGTCTGCATGCCCTGCAGAAGGGCCCGGCCCGCTCCTCTCTGGCCGCTGTGCAGAGTCTCCCGTGCTGGGCTCTCAGCTCTGCCAGCCACAGTGGGACACGGACGAGGGGTGCGGACCTCAGATGAACGTCCCCAAGGCCTCGTCCTGGTCTCTTGCCTGTTCACACCAACATCTCCCGGTTCTGCGGCACAGAATTCACAGCCTCTTGTGCATCTGTAACAGAAACACCACCCCTGGGGTTAGACACACCTGAGGGCCCCCCACTAAGTGCCACCAGGAACTTGAAGCTGCGGAGACGTTGAGTCTTTCTGGGGGTAAATTCCCACCCATTCGATGGGACTTCCAATCCACACCCAGCACACGGGCCAAAGCCTGGGGCCACGAAGTACGGCCCTAGGACCAATCTGATCTCACCGCTTTTTTTGTAAATAAAGTTTTATTAAAACACAGCTGCCTGGGGGAGGATGTGTCTGTGGCTGCTTCTGTGTTGTGTGGGAAATCAGAGTGGTTGTGACCCATTGTACAGCCCCAAGTACAGAGACATTCACAGCTGGCCCTTTATGTAAAAAGCTGACCCAGAACCCTATCTGTCTGTGTCTGTCTGTCTATCCATCCATCTTTATCTATCTATCTATCTATCTTTCTATCTATCTATCTATCTATCTATCTAATCCATCCATCCAACCATCCATCTTATCTATCCATCCATTCATCTAATCTATCCATACATTCATGTATTTATCCATCTAATCAAGGTATCAGTCTATTGTCTATCCATCCATGCATGTATTTATCTATGTATCTACATATCTATCTATCCATCTATCCACTCATCCATGTATCAATCCATCTTATCAATCTATCCATCCATTCTATGTATCCATCATCCATGTATCTAACCATCTATCCATCCACCCATCCATCCATCTATCCATCCCTCCATGTATTTATCTATGTATCTACATATCTATCTATCCATCTATCTGTCCATCCCTATCTATCCATCCATCCATCCATTCTACGTATCCATCCATCTGCCCATCTTATCTATCTACCATCTATCTAGTACCTATCTTTCTTTCTAAGTATCATGTCTAGTGTCTACATACCTATCTATCTATCCATCTACGTACCTAAAGTAGAACATGAAAGTATTCAACACTCTTTTAGAAAAAACAGATGAATGATGAATGAATGAATGAATGAGTGCGTAAGTCATGTTTGTGAAAGGCTCTAGCACTCCATCTGGGAACACAACTCTCTGGAATCTTTTCTTGTCTTTTTCTTCTGAAGCGAAGACAAGCAACCCTGGAGAGGCAGATCCGCTGAACACGGCGTTCTCCACATGCAGCGAGGGCCAGGATGGTGAGATGGGGAGCCGGTGACAAGTGGACACGCAGAGGAGAACACACATCTGACGTGACAAGCAGGGGTATTGCTCATGGCACGGCTCCCATAAGATGGGCCACGTGTCTGATGGGGCCACTCCAAGTGTCTGGGGACAGCGTCAAGACGGCAGTGTCCTCTGATTCCAGGCTGTGCCTGGGACACTTACGGGAACTTTCCACCTGCCCAGGGCTGCCAGGGGAATGGCACGTCCACAACACCGACGCCCACGTGCCCAGAAGACCCATCTCCAGAAACAGACTGTGCAGCGTCCGTGCACTCACACCCACGCAGAAGCAGCAGACATTAAAAGCAAGAAACAGCTTCAGCATCTCTGTTTAGAGGCAGTTTTGTTTATAGAGTTTAGCACGTTAGCCGAGCAAAGCACCATGCCTGAGAGGCAGGAAACAGACGGAGAATCTGATCCCGATTTTCTTGAGTACCCCAAAAGTGAGATGTGTCTTCCTTCACATTTTATTAGTGGCCATTAAATAAACACTCCGTTCCAGAAAAGGGAGCCCTCCTACACTGCTGGTGGGAATGTAATTTGGTGCAGTCACCATGGAGAACAGTACGGAGGTCCCTCAGAAAATTAAAAATAGAGTTACCATATGATCCAGCATTCCCACTCCTGGGCATGTATCCAGAGAAAAATGTAATTCAAAAAGACACCTGCACCCCAATGTCCACAGCAGCACTATTTACAACACTCAAGACCTGGAAACAACCTAAATGTCCATCGACAGATGACTGGATAAAGAAGATGTGGTGTGTTTATACAGTGGAATACTACTCAGTCATAAAAAAGAATAAAATGCCATTTGCAGCTAACATGGATGGCCCTGGAGATGATCATACTAAGTGAAATAAGTCAGAAAGAGAAAGATAAATATTATATGATATCACTTCTATGTGGTATTGAAAAAAATGACACAAATGAACTTACAGAACAGAGACAGAGAAAACATACGTATGGTTACCAAAGTGGAAGGGGAGGGATAAATCAGGAGTCTGCGATTAGCAGACACACACCTCTGTATATAAAACAGACACACAACAAGGCCCTACTGCACAGCACAGGGGACTCTATCCAATACCTTGCGATAACCTCTAATAAAAAAGAATCTGGTGCTGTGCACCTGAAACTAACACAGTATTGTAAATTAACTATAGTTAAGTAAATAAACATTTTTAAAAAACAGTCCAGAAGCATGGCTGATGACTAACTGTCTAATAGTTCTCCTTCCATGTTAGAACCAAAAAACAATTTATAAAGCATCTGTAGCCACGTGGGAACCCCACCCTGGAAGAGCTGCTGGCTGTGACGCCAATGCAAGGATACGCTAGGAGCCGAAATGCAGTTTGGGGCCTCAGTGGGATTTTGACAATTGAGAGAATGGGGGGTTAGCTGACCGGCAGTCACTGGTCTTGAAATTCAGGGCATCGTCTGACAGGAAACACATGGAGACCTTTCAACAGCCTTCCAAATGCCTTCTCTGTCCAGGATGGAACTTGAGAACAATAGCCATTCTCAGAGGGAGGATTGAGCCATCCTTGCCTGACTGGGCAGTGAGGGAGGGTGGGCTCTGGTGCCCATGCAAGGATCCATGAGCTGCTTGAGATGTTCATAGGCATTGAGGACTATGACTTTCCTGTAACGCTGACTGAGCTGTTGGTGTCTTAACAGAACTCAACTTTATTCGTGCTCAGTTCTCAAGATGCAGGGCCGAGCTCCTTCAAAAGCTGCAGGGGAAGGTCCCTCACTGCCTCTTCCATCTTCTGGAGGTTCCAGCATCCCTGGGCTGGTGGCCACCTCCCTTTTGTCTTGTCCTCTGTTGCCACATGACCTCCTCCACTTCTGTAATCAAATCTGCATCTGTCTCTGGTCAGTAAACTTGTGATTACCCGGATCAGCCAAGACGAGGTTCTCATCTTAAGATATTCATGAGACCAGCAAGGATTCCCTTCCCAAATAGGAACACACTCACAGGTTCCAGGTGTCAGGATGAGGACACAGCTTTCGGGGAGTCACCATTCAGCCCACTGCAGAGGGAGCTGGACGCCACCAGGATCGCCCCACCCACCCCTCTCCTGTTCCCAGGGCACAGAGGGCGGCCTCCACGCTGCTGGAGGAGAAGGTGTCTGCACCTGAAGTCCCTGAGGGTCCCCGAGGAAACAACTGGTGGGGGAAGGACCGGATGGACCGTCAGGGGCACCCACAACCAGGGCAGCGTTGGCATTCGACATGACGACTGGTGTTACTGTCGTGGTATGAAGTGGCGCCCCGGGCATGCAGACGTCTCCAAGAGGGCAGTACACACGCTTAACAGACAATGAGAGGAAAGGTGGGGAGACCCAGATAGAGGCCAAAGGTGGCCACTGAATGGTACTGGGGGGCAAGGAAGCCAATCTTCAATCAAGGTTCTAAAAATGGGGGCTATGTCTAGACCCCCACACCCTGTGCAGATGACTCCTATGATTGGCTTAGCCCCTGTCCCTGTCCCTGTCCTGTCCTATAGACCCCAAGGTGAGATGTCTCTGTCCTGTCCCACAGGACCCCTGGTGAGGGTGTCCAGGCCCCCTCACTTACCACACGTCCTACAGAATTCCTACAGCTCTGGTGAGGGTCTGTCCGTGAGTCATGGGGTGAGAACCTGACAGATGATCTGCAGGCTGTGAGGGCAGCTGTGAACCGACCCCTCTGAAGATGGTCGAGTGGGGGGCCGTTTGCCCATGAGAGCCTGGATCAGCTGACTGTGGGGGCACCCACCTCCCTCCGTCCAGGACCCACAAGTCAAAGCTTTGTGTCCGGCATAAAGCGTGAGTGAGAGGACTGAGGACACAGGACCCCTTCAGACACCAGTGCCCTCAGTCCCAGGCGCCCTGAATGTCCCTGTCTTACCGGGAACGTTTCTGCCCCCCGCCGTGTACTTGGGCCTCTGTGCTGAGCAAGGAACACCGCACATGTGGGTGGCAGGATTTAATTACCGTTGGCACCTGAAACAAATGGACACTTTGGGGATCACAAGGTTTACGGCTGAGGACCACCGTAAATGTCTCTTGTGCTCTTTGATGTCCTGCACACAGCAGGGCAGCAGACGGGAGATGCTGCGGGGACCGAGCCCGGAGCAGGGCGGGGAGGAGGGGCCGAGGACGATGGAGACACTCCGCGGTCCGGCGCAGACGGACCTGTGAGTGCGGGACTGAACGCGGTCCCCTGGCGTGGCCGCTACCCCGACGAGGCGTCCTGGGTCACGTCAGCGCTGCCGGTCATCTGGCAACTCCTGGCCCACAGCTGTCGCTGCAGCTTTCGGTCGTACGTGGTCGCCAGCGACTTGGTCTCTTTCTCGTTGTAAAGGTAGCGGCCGCCGACACCTTCCAGCGCAGGGGAGACCGCCGCGTAGACGGAAGTCCAGGATCCTTCCTCCGGGGTCTGCGGGGAGAGGGAGATGAGAGCGGGCGCCAGCCTTCAGAGCAGAGCACGCGGGGGGCCCTCGCCCACACGGCAGCTGTCGGGTGACACAGAACGACCATCATATGGGTGGACAGGTGCGTGTGGGAGGCTGGTGGCCAGCCTGGTCCAGACAATCCGGTCCAGCCAACCTGGTCCTACCAACCTGGTCCAGACAGCCTGGTCCGGCCAACTGGGCCCGGGCAACCTGGTCCAGGGAACCTGGTCTGGGCAAGCTGGTCGGGCCAACCTGGTCC